GGAGGGATTCTGTGGGGAACACAGAACTGGTGCTGTCTGCAGAGCAGGTGCTGATGGTTCAGCAGAAGGGAAACGGGTGGCAGGGCCGTTCCCTGGGGAGGTAGGCACTGCAGCAAAGTCAGATGTGCAAAAGCTGCAGCATCTGCTGACATGCTGACACTCAGTATCCACAGCTGCTAGCCGGCGTGGTGACCCAACTGCTGCTGCCACATCTCACAGGAGTCACAGAAACTTCTGCTGAGTGTTGTGGTCTCCAGCTCTGGTGTAGCTGTCTTCGTTGTTGGTTAACAGACCTCAAGCTCCAGATCTGTGCATGTTCGGCTCCCCAGATCTAAGGATGTGCTGCTGATGAAGGCATCTATAGAAGGGAAAGAGGCAGTGGAGTGGAGGAGGAGACATAATGCCCAGGATGAGACCTCCTTCTCAGCCTTTCCAAATACAGAAGAGACCATGTTGGCCTGGAATCCCAGACCGTATTCTATAAAAGGACATGTGCCCAGGCTAGAGTCCAGTAACAGCTCCTGCAAAGAGGAGCCTCTCAAGGATCCCCCCAGCTCTCCAGGTACTGAACCTCCTGACAGGGTGTCAAGCACCTACCTGAGGCTTCCTCAGTGCTGGCCTCTGAGTCACTGGCCACTTCTGTCTGCAGCTGGGTCAGGAGTTCATTGACATGCATGAGAACATCTGAATGGGGAATGTTGACAATCAAGTAGTTCTTCACTTGTTTCAGAATGGACAGGACTGATGCCTGGCAAAAATCCTCAGGGAACATCTCAATCCGTATATCCAGGAAGGTGGAGATGGTGCTGGGTTAGGAGACAGACAGCACAGTCAGTGGCCTGGACTCTCCTTTGCCGCCCCTCTCAAGGCTCCCATGCATGTGAGACTGCAAGGAAGAAGATCTCCAGCCCTTATGCAAATGAGCACAGTGAGCAGGGCTGTGAGGTCCTTGTGAGCAGGAAGCTCCACACATCCCTTTCTTAGGCTGTAACTGAGCACAGCTGACCAGGCCTGGATGACATGGGTTGAGATCAGGGTAGAGTCTCACTGGGGCACCAGAGGCCACAGGTTCCTCCATATTCCCACTAGCAAGGACCCTGCCCCTGCAATTCTTCTCACTCTCCAGGAAATACTCTGACATCAATATGGTAGAAAGCAGGAGTGTGAGACCCAAGCATCAGTCATCCCTGACCCTTAGAACCCAAATGACCTGACTCTGGAAGCCAAGGCCTTTCTCTTGCTGCAAAGCCCACTTACTCCATAACTTCTTCATCCTCTTCACAATCAGGGTAGAAGTATGCATACCTAGAGGAGACCAGGAAGGATGTCACCTGTAGAGTCCCAGGTCCCCATCCAAAAGACCTCTAGGGAGACACTGATACCTGGAGAGGAATTCAAGTCCAGAAGTCCTGTCTGCTCTCAGAATTATGAATTCACCCTCATACAGTAAGTAGGTGCTTCAAATATGTTTGTACAGTGAGTGATCACAAACATCTCTATCCAGACATCTCAGTGCACACCAGGTCCCTTGGACAATCCTCCATGGGTCTCCACTCTGGACACATGTCTATTCCGTACTCCAATAGGAATTCTAGAACCTCCTTTACAATAGGAGAAGTGCTTTGATCAAGGCTCAGAAAAATTGGGCCAAGGATAGAGAGCTTCTTGAAGGTGCAGGGAACATCCACACTCATTAGAGTCTCAGCTCTGGACACACCAGTCCCTAAGGCCGAGCCTTAAGGAAGCACTTTCTGGCTTCATGCTGTTGGGTCCTGACAATACTCTAGAAAATAAGGAGGCTCAGAGGAAGGCAGAGAGCTTCCCCTAACCAGGAGAGGATCTGAGGCCTCTGAGCTTGGAGGTGGGCACTCACTGCTTGAACAGCAGGCCCGACACCTGCTGCATGGTGACAAACCTTTGATGTATGCAAATGAACGTGAGAACAACCGAGGGGTCCCCAATCTGCAGGGAAATCACCAGATGAATCACCACCTCTTCCAAAGTACTGAAGCAGGCCTTTCTACAGGACTCCTTCAGGTCCTTTGGGGCAGACTCCTTTGCAACCTGAGGAGAGATCAAGGTGGATGGTTCCAACAAGCACAGGACTACAACGTTCTGATTGGCTATTATCATTCCAAGTTTTCCTGAATCTTTACACTGCCAAACTCCCAAAGTGAAATTTGGGGAAACTCTGGGATTTCAGAGTGATTACCTGGTTTGTGTGATCCTGGCCCTGGCTGCCCTGGGTCGAGTTTCTTTCTCTCCGGCCAAATGGCCAGAGGCGTTGGAACCAGGAGTGAACCCGGGATCTCCAGGTACCACCATGGCCTCCACCATGGCCTCCTCTTTTCTCTTTCTTAGGTTCTGAGCCTCGAGTCATTCCAAGACAACAAGAAAACATCCTGCTCTGACTAGAGTATCAGGACAAATGAGCCTGCTAGGCTGTCTCTAAGCAGTTGGCTGCCTGGTTGCAGGGTTCTGCATTGTTGGGTCATTGTTAAGGAAGTGAGGTCACGCCTGGGGACCCCTGCCTGAGTCCCCTCCTCACAGAGGGCCATTCCAAAAGTCTCCTAGGTCCCCTCCCACCTCCTGGGTGCCTACCTGACACAGTTAAACAGGCACTTCCCACCCCACTGCTCCCAGGGATGTCTGGGTACAGAAAGCACCTCAGCTCTGCCATCTGAGTCCCCACTGTTGACCTGCACCTGATATGCTAATCCTAAACAACCCTAATTGCCCTGGACCACCACAAGCCCTAGACATGTCTCTCTTCTAGACTACTTTGTGTGAAATATGAGCACAAATCATCTGGGTGTGTCAGGACTCCACAAGGAACTAGAGAGTGGGGCTTTTTTTCCCCATTTTTTCATACTTTTGTTTTTTGTTTGTTTGTTTGTTTGTTTCTTTGAGACAGGGTTTCTCTGTACAGCTCTAGCCGTCCTGGATCTCACTCTCTAGACTAGGCTGACCTTGAACTCACAGATATTCACCTGCTTCTGCCTCCGGAGTATTGGGATTAAAGGCATGTACCACCAGTGGGGCCCAGAGTGGAACTTTTTCATAGTAATTAAAATAATGTACTTTGCTGAAAAAAAGTGCAACTGCGTTAATTCTTCCATTACTCCTCTTTGCTGATTTCTTGTTTTGTTTTTTTTTTTTCTTACAAACTCCTTCAGCTCTATGCACCTAGGCATCGCTGATGTCACCTCCTTTATTCTGAAAGTTTGCCAGCAAGAGAAGCAGTGCAGGGAAAGACATTGGAGACCCAGACCCTAGGCTGGATCTCTAGCAGCTCCTCCCACTTCCCATCTTGCCCACCGGCTGCTGAGCCTCACCACTGCCCCCATGTGGAGGAAAAGGACACAGCAGATGAGAATCCCAGTAGAAAAGTCACCTTGGGTGCAGGGTCATTATTTACTATAAACTTTCCTTTTAGGGCTGCCTTGGCTGTGTCTCAGACATCAGATAGGTTCTGTTTTTATTATTGTTTGTTTCTGGAACTCTTAAAATGTCTTGAATTATCCCCAACTGTTCATTCAACAATGCATCCTTCAGCCTCCAAGTATTTTTTGTGGTTTGGGTCATTTCTCTCATTGTTGATTTCTAGTTTTATTTCATTGTGGTCTGATAAGATGTAAGGAATTATCTTAGTTTTATTGTTTGTTCTCTGCTTTGTTGAGGCTTGATTACTTTGGGAGAAGATTATGTGTGCTGCTGAGAAAAATGTGTATTTCTTATCTGTTGGGGGAATATTCTGTATGTCTCCTAAGTTCAGCTCATTAATTTTGCTACAAAGTTTACTTTTCCTTACAAGAAAGATAGCAACATCTGCTTCTTTATATTTTTCATTTGCTTGGTATATTAGGGTTCTCTAAAGGAACAGACTGATAGAATGAATGAGTGTGTGAGTGTGTGAGTGTGTGTGTGTGTGTGTGTGTGTGTGTGTGTGTGTGTGTGTGTGTGTATGTATGTAAATTATTAGAGTGGCTTCAATGCTGTGGTTCAAGTAGTTCCAAAACAATCAATCCACAGACTGGATGTCTCGTCAATTCCAGTTGCAGATGGAATCCCCAGGAAGCCCTAGAGAGCTGCTAGTCTTCAGTCTGTGTTGGAATTCTGAAGAAGTAATACTAGCAAAGGAAAGCCTCAACAACAGGATAGATGAGCTTGCCAGCAAGAGTGAGGGCAAGCAGGCAAAAAGTAAGAACTTCCAACTTCCACTTCCTATTCTATGGGCTGCCACCAGAAGATGTGGCCCAGATTTAGGGTAGTCCTTCAGACCTCAAAAGATCCAGATTTAGGACAGGTGTTCCCACCTCAAATGATCTATTCAGAGAAACGCCTTGCGTGTATGCCCAGCTTCTTGGGTTTTAGTTGATTCCAGTTGTAGTTAAGTTGACAACCAAGATTCACCATCACACTTGGTAGTTTGTTTTCTGTCCTTTGACATTGTGGATTTGGTTTCTTTGGGGGTAAGTGAGTTTCTTGGAGATAATGTATAGTTGGTTCTTGCTTTTTAATCCAGTCCATCAGTCTGTATCTTTTTAGTGGTAAACTAGCTGAGGAATAATCCTCTACACTGTGAAAATGTGCTGCTCTCATTGTTAATAAAAAGCTCATTGGCTGATAGCTAGGCAGAAAGAGATTGTGTGAGACAGCCTGAGACAGGGAGAATGCTGGGGGTGGGAGTGGGAAGAAGGGCAGAGTCAGAGTCACTGGTGACACAGAGAAGCAAGACAGACATGCTGGACTGAGAAAAGGTACCCGGCCATGTGGCAAGGCATAATTAAGAAAGACAGGTTAATTTAAGTGTAAGAGTTAGCTAGTAACAAGCCTGAGATATCAGCTGAGCATTTATAATTCATATCCAATCTCTAAGTCTGTTATTTAGAAACTGACAGGCAGGAAAGAAATGACCACATACAATTTACATTTAAGATTATTATAGGAAGGGGCTTGCTATTTCCTCTACTGTTTTGCTGCATTATTGGTATTTCTTTTTCTTCTCCTATATTAGTTTTGAGGGTTTGCTGAGTTGCTGTGTTGAAGGGGGTTGTTTCTTTCTCAAGTCTAGCTTATCTATTGTTTTCATAAAGTGTATGCTCATGCTTCACATGAAGACAACTGTCTTCCATTCTCCCTGTGAGATATTCCACTATAAACCTTCTGCAGTGTCTGGCTTGGTTGTTGTGAATGGCCTTAATTTGTGTTTATCTTGAAATACCTTTATTTCTCCATCAATGTTGAAAGAGATCTTTGCAGAATACAGAATTCTTGGGTCGCAGTTTGCTTTCAAAACTTGAAGTAACTCATTTCATGTACTTCTGACCTTTGTGAAGGCAGATGAAAAATCTGGGACGATTCTGATCTTTTTGTCTTTGCCTGTGAGTTGTCATCTTTTTCAAGCTGCTTTTACAATTATTTTTTCACTTGTATTTTTGACATCCTGACTGCTGTATGTTGTGGAGAGTTTCTTCTCTGTTTGTCTATATGGAGTTCTATACACCAATTTCTTTCTCTAATTTGAGGCCTCTCTCTCTCTCTCTCTCTCTCTCTCTCTCTCTCTCTCTCTCTCTCTCTTTCTGTAATTTCCTTAGGTTTTTTTTTGGCACAAATCTTTTTTATTTAACTTCTTTGTTGACTCTTCGGCACTTTCACATCATGCACCCCAATTCTGCTCACCTCCCAGTCCCCCCATATCCTCCCCTCATCCCTGCCACATCCCACCACAAAAGAAAACA